TAAATCTTGCCCCCCCCACTACCACACCCAACTCCCTCCCATATTTCCGTCAATATTTTTCTAGGCAACCCCATAACTAAAATCTTATATAATGATTACCCAACCTCACAAAGTCCCGCCGCCTAAATAACACAGTTCCTAACTAGTAATTTTTCCGGGATAAAAATACCCAAAAGCAGCGGTCCTTGATAGGGGGGCTTTGGGTTTTAAATGTATTGAAATAGCTCATTTTAATAAAACCACAGCTGCTCAGTAATATAATAAATATTATAATGATTCTTACCAGAAGATACTGTATAAAATCGACGTGACAGCTACAATATATTAATTAGCTCACAATCATCCCAAATACCAATTTTAAAAAGCCATTCCATGCGAATTGCGAAACAACGCATCAAATAATGGATAGAATGGGATAATATTAGCCGTTTGAATGATGTACACTTAGGCACATTGCAGTACATTTGCACAAGCGCCCGCAATAGATAATCAGCGATCTATCAACTGAGCTAAGTCCTCAGCCCAGCTGCGGACCTAAGAGTGACCAATCAGAATCGGCTGTTTCAATTGATATCGTTTCCGGTTTGCACATTGCTCCAGATATATATATCGAGATCACTGGAATATGAGCAGTTTACAACAGGTCAGCGGATGTCTTGACGGTCGCCTTTTAATAACACATGCTCGTCGTATTAAATAAAAGTTTCCCATTATATCTTTAAAAAACTTGCTTAATTCAAGCTAATTAAGTTATACACAACTTTTATGTGTAAATGGCAACGAAGAAACAGAACACTATTTCCCTATTACGCCTAAAAATACCAAGACTTTGGTCCAATTTCTTCATTCAAGCCCAAGGTATGTTCTTGCAAATCAGCGATGGCAATATGTCTTTTAATAATTTGTCTTTTATTTATTGTCTTTTTCAAAAAATATAACACTTCTATTTAGTATTTTTGCTTGTTTAATTTAAAAAACATTCAAACAATTTTTAATACTACAGATACACACACACTTTGGTTACAATGTAGTTGTTGAAATTCTCTTAACTTTGTAAGATCCAAAATCTTCTTATTAAATTGTCTTTTATTGTGTAATAATTAATAAATGAAAAAGCCATCCCGGAACTGGTTGTTTGTTCCAATCCGTATTCTGTTTATCTGTTCTTATATATGATCGAGTCTAACATATGTCAAGCTAAGAGGTTACAATCCCGACAACAACTTCATTCATAAAATTATCCTAGAATACAAATATAATATATATACAATATAAATATATATATAAAATCACTCTTATAGTCATTCTCTTCCACAGGGGGAACAATGGCTGGAACAACGAGGATAATATTACTGTATATATATCGAGAACGCTTACCTAATTTATATACACTTCACTGAAGAGTGTCAAGTGGGGATAATTTGTGGACCAGAGTATGTATGCAGCTCATCCAGGAAATAGCGTGGCAATTTACTTCCTCGTTCTGACATATGGCATGGTAAGTGTCTGCCGTGGTCATCGTATATAGCTACCTGTCAACAAATAAGAATTTTTGTTGTCACGTCAGGCAACGGTTTATTGTTGAACTGACAGCCGCAGTGAAAAATTGTACTACAGACTTTTGTTTATTAATTGAGGCCTATATTTATATCACACAACTTTTGCGTAAAACTGTGGTATGCAACTGGCTTACAACAAAAGTTGTACTGTTGAGGAAATATCAAAGTTATGTTGTAACCAGTTGTTGCATGCAACGGTTTAATACGCTGACACTGTAACCGTCTATGATCATTCAAATTAATAACGGCATCCTGGCAAGTGAAAACCAAGACTTGCTTGCTTTGACTTGTGAGTCTACGTATGAAAGGCTGCGTGAATATTTTATGTAACATATGCAACATACTGATAGATCTGTATGATGAATTGTGTTACAAAATAAGTTATTCTCTGCGTGTATTAGAAATTGCAGTGCAGAAGGCAATTTAATTCGAAAAATTATTCAAATATATTGCATGTATGCAACAGTTATAGAGGATCATGACACGAAGGCCTTAAACAATTTGGCCAACAGAGCATCGATGTCTGACAGTTGCACGACTATACACAGACTGATAGATTTGTATGATTGAATTGAATAATGTTGCAAATTAGGATGTTACTATCCAGAGAACAACTTCTTTCGTAAAATATCCGAGTATGCAAATACATATATATTTACATATATATATATATATATATATATATATATATTTACATATATATATATATATATAATGCTTGTGATGTTACTCTGAGTGTATATCCACACCGGGCAGGCTTGAAAAATATGCCTGACCACCATGGTCAGGCATATTTTTCAAGCCTACCTGTTCCGATACTCGAACCGACCAGACCGTGTTGCTCAGTTGGCAGAGCATTGGGCTAGTATTCCAAAGGTCATAGGTTCGATTCCCACCGTGGTTAGGCATATTTTTCAAGCCTGCCCGGTGTGGATATACACTCAGAGTAACATCACAAGCATCATGAAAAATATATGTAATATATAATAAAACCCCTGGAAGACTATATTAACATAATAAATTTTTTTTAGCTGGCTAGCACGAGAAGCATAATAGTTAATAAGCCCCTTTATTAGGCTATATAGCTATAGTAAAATAGTTTAAAACAAAACTTGCAAACCATGCATAAAGCATCATTCAACTCCTTTCACAAACGTAACGTTACTGAACTTAGCAAATACGTGCGCGGGAGTTCAAAAATCGAAACATCCATTATACAATCAAATCAAAACTATCGAAACGAGCTAAGCCTTATAACTGTGCTTCAAATCGGTGTAATTTGTGTTTATGGGAGAAATACTTATTATTTGTATGCCCAAAATGGCCACTTTAAACAAACGTAATGAGTTAGTATCAGATCTTTTATTTGTTTGTGTGTATGTCAGAAATTTACGGGTTTCCCATGACAAGGATACTTTGAGGTTTTGACAATGAAATTGTTTGGGAGCATGCTTAAGTAGAGTTGTAACTCATAAAACATGTCAAGAATATTTGATTGTACCCACAAACAAGTAAATGACTTGCCAAGGAAAACATGTGCGTCTGGCAGATAAATAGTCTCCCTTGCAGCCGCTTTTTGTGTCAAGGTTTCTACAAAGTGAAAGAGCGGCTGCATTAAGGGAGACTAGCGGATAAGCAAATCGAAAAGCAATTAAATCTATTTATATCAATATATTTGAAATACAAATGCAAGATGCAAACATTTCCAACATAACAGTATTCAAACGTTTCTTGTAGGTGGCTGTAAACATTGGCCTGAAACCGGAAATCAGATGGTGCATGGTTGAAGCAATTCAATTACCTATTAGTAATGTTAAACGAGAAGCACAAAGTTGCTACATGGAAACTAACTAAATTGGAACAGTTTACAATGGTGGTAATGTTGTTCTTGGCGTAAGAAAATACATGAAGTATTCGGAGAAGAAACGAGAGTCTTGTTGGACTTGTTTCATGCGACCCAAAGAATAACAAAAACCATTGTAAAGAGTCATCCTTTCCAAGCTAATTGTAAGCACGAGTGTGCAACGGTGTTCAGGCATATTGACGATAGGGGAGAAAAACGTCAAAAAGAAACGCCACCGAAGGAGATACTTATCGAAAACATAGACAGTTTCACAGAAAAATGGAAACACATTTCGGAATTTAGTGCAGTGCCACTATTTCAGGATTCCTTCGAGAAAGAAGTTGCGAACATTCGGAAGCATATGGAGCTAGGATGTTTGTCCGACATACCACCAGGGTACTCAACAAGTATAAACGAAAGCCTGCATGAAAAATTAATAATTTTTTTGCCAGTGCAAAAAATGGGACCAGAACTAGCCTTTGCCTTGTTAACTGTTTTCTTTTATGCATGGAATTCACGAGAGAAAAATAAGATTAATGGAATTCCAATGGACCATTTGCATTATAGACTAAATTTTGATCTAGACAAAATTTTCATCACAGCTTGAAAGAGCATCACAAAATTAGTAATATTCCAAAGTCTCGTTGCAAAATGTTGTAAAATGCGGATAATATAGCCTTGCAAAATTTTGTATTATTTGTATTACAAACGGGAAATTGATGCCCCAACACCCGATTGGACTGTCAATTTCCCATGCGTAATACAAAATGACTGAAAAACGGCAAACTTCGCAAGGCTATATTATCCGCATTTTACAACATTTCGCAACAAAACTTTGGAATATTACTAATTTTGTGATGCTCTTTCAAGCTGTGATGAAATTTTTGTCTAGATCAAGATTTAGTCTATAATGCAAATGGTTCATTGTCGAACCCTTGTCACTTTCAACAAACCTTAAAACGGATAGCACCTTCCGCATTCAACGCAAGGAACAGTTTGGTATTGGAGTGAAAGCCAACGTGCATGTTTCTAATAACTCTCAGCATCAACAAGAAACCCTTGATGATCAAAGTAACAATTCATTTTCAAAATTACTTGAACGTGCGATGTCTATGTTATGTTTACATAACCTCATAAAAACATGCAGCAATACGGTAGCGATTTAAACTGGCAGGATTTATTTTTTCATAACGAAATTCTCAAATGCATTTACGGTGGTTCTGTAAATCCAAACATCGAGCAACAAGCAAATAATCGCAGATGAACAATCCAATACGAAATTGATAAACATAGCTGCACGTTTTAGAATGAAAGTCGTTCCCATGTCATAGGATGGCAACTGTTTGTTTAACATGGTTGCTTTTAGTATTTCACAACACTTTTTGCATGGAACCAGTGAATACTACAGTTACTTAGGCATTAAATCAACTTCCGATGTCGATTTGATCTCACAAAGGCTTCAAAGTATAATGATGAATGAACTGAAAACAAACAGGGAGAAGTACATGCCGTTTCTACAAAGCATGAATGACAAAGAGTACGATGACAGGGAAAGATTTGACAGGTTCTAAAGATGACAGGTTTGACATGTTCTAAAGATGCCTCTGATATTACTGACAAGCATAACAGGCTACCATGTTATACCCATATCACCCGACAAATTCAACAAAGTAGGGGACAAAATATTTATTACACTCTCACCGGACGGCGCTGGACACTATGATGCTCTTCAAGAACTAGACACAATCCAAGAAGATGAAAAGAACATAGCAGAAAAAGAAAATAAATGCACCTGTGGTATGAACAGGAAAGCTTCTAAATCAAAGGAAAACTGCAAGGATAGCAAAACGGAATCTGGTCGGACTTACGTATTTCACGCTGTCCTTGTCTACGTGCCAAGAAGGGTTGTGGAGAGTCGTGCAAATGCAAAGAATGCAGCAATCCGTTTGGTATGAAAATACTTGTTGAAAAGAGTGATAAACCTAAAACAAGACGAAGAGCACAAACAGACATGAGTGGAGAGTGAAGAGATGGAGCAGAATACATGAATAGCGAGAATGAAGAAGTCTCATACAGTAAATGGACAAACAAAGAAAATTTTCTTTTTATGCAGCATGTTACCAATCCAGAAACACTGAATGCTGATACAGACAATCAAAAACTCCACAATCTTACCAAGAATTTCAATGCAAGCATCCTTGAATCTGGAAGAGGTTTGAGAATTTCAATGTTCATCCAAAAACTTAGAAACAAGTTAAAAACAAATTGTCGAGGATTAGGAGGGTTAAGGAACTGGCGTATCACACAATTGAAGAACAATTGAAACACTTTCTGTCAGAATTGTCTCAGTAGGATATACCGTCGAAATATTTTGCCTGATTTCTTTTGAATTGCGACCATCCAAATAAATCAGTTCTACTTGACCACTCACAATAAGTCAGTGGGGCCACCTGTGGTGCCCACCGACTCTAGCTTTGCAAAAGGGGGCGTGCAAAAGTTCGCTATTGAATATTTGGTCCAGTCGCGTCTTTTCTTTTGGGATTTTTGAAAGAAATATATTAAGAATTCACTAAAAGTTATCATGATGTTTCACTGTTATGTTATCGAGGAGGGAAGTGGATAATTTGTACATAATTTTATATATTTAAAGTTCGTATCGCGTGGCGGAGATATCGCCTATCGGGCGCGCAATTGATACTTTCTATATATTTACTATTGAACTTTCGACATCTCCAGCGTGCAATTTCCAAACTTTCCAGTCAGTAATAATATTTTGGTCTTTTGGATCTACATAAATTAAACTTAAAGTCAGACATCGCCTGCTTCTTTCGAGTCTACATCCTATTCCTATTAAATAGCATTGAAGGATTTTAGTTCATTGGGACAAAATGACCAAAAGCTGAAAAGGAGCATCTCAATTTCCTGATATCGTGTGGATGGAATATTTCTTGGCAGAATAACATTATTATAACATGCAGTTCGCCGCCTTATACTGCACACTGGTATAGTGGTATGTAGATTAGTAAAGCGTTATTGCTATAATTTGACAATAGACAGACGTTATAATGCGTCTAGTTTCGAGACAAAGAATATTCTTGCCTTCCAGCCTTTGATCACTAACTAGCTAGCTATTAAAGTTCGGTTTTAACTTGGCGAGTTGGTAACATAACACCAGCCGATCTGTGTAATAACAACAGGATAAACGCTTATAATTTTAACACATACGATACAGTATAATGTATACAGTATACTATATATATATGGCTATTAAAACAACATTGCTACATGGTTGTACTTGTTTTAACTATTAGCGCTAACTACCAAGCAAACTTCAAGAATCAAGTTTTTTGGAAAAACAAACACGCTTTTCTTTAATTAATTGATGCTATTACTAGCACTTAAAGTTGCACATTTCCATCGCCCCAGTGACTTAACGCTCCGTGGAGCGCCTTGTTCAAAAGAAATTGAGCAAAAAATTTGGATTGTGAAATTTTTTGCAAGTGGAAAACCAGCTTAATAAACCATATAATATTTCAAAGTTCATTGAGTATTCTTTGTTTGCAATGACGTAATTTTGGGATTTCAGTTGACAGGCAGGTATATTTATAATTAGCTGTTAATAATAATAATAACAACTTTATTTATAACAGACAGCCTACATCACTAATCAAGTGCTTTTCAGCAGGGCTCTGTATATTACATTCCGTTATATTATTATGTAAGAAAGTTAAAAGTTCTATTCTATATAGAAAAAGTAGACTATATTAAAAGTTTAAGTTTGTTCTATATTGATTTAAAAAATTTAAAAACAGCACGTTTAAAATTAGATAAAGAAGACGAATTTCTAATATTTTCATCTAAAAGGTTCCAGTCCGCAATGAAATCACAGTTTGATCTAAGTAGTCCTTTGCAAGTACTGGATTTCATTGGCCGTAAATCGTTCTTATGTCTTGTATTGTAACCGTGAACATCTGCATTTCGGATAAATGTGTTATCAATATCATTTATCCCATTTATTGATTTATATACATAGAGGCATCTACGTATACTTCGCCTTTGCTTCAGGGTAGACCAGTGTAACATTCTTAGGGCATCACTAGAAGAGGAGAGCATTGGTCTGTACAGTACCAACTTTGCTGCCTTGTTGTGCAATACTTGTAAACTATCCATCATAATCTTGTTTTTCTTATCTCC